AATTAGAAGCTGTCTGGTTTGCTTTTGTGATGATGCACAGAAGACATGTTCCTGTAGAAATCAGCCCTGCATGCTACCTTTCATTACATATTTGCTGCCAGAGAGAATTCGAGTATCTTATCTCATTTTGTTCACTTTCAGAAACTTAAGGCAGGATTTTAGCAGTCCTTTGCTACATATTCAAAGGGAGAAAAAGAAAAATCAATGACATGTTTTTAGAATTCAGTTTTCTCTGTGCTGAGAGTGTGTAATGCATCATTTCGGGTCTGTGTATTCAGCTCCACACCAGACCTTGCTGAGAAGAAGCATCTGCCAGTAACACAGCAAGGCAAGCAAACACCTCCCTGAACAGAAACCATTAGGAAAAAATCCCCTTTTACCAGGGTTCAGAGCATGGTTTCCCAGGCAGGAAAAAGGAGGAATGGCTGCTGTGGCCAGTGGCAGGGAGGAGATGCTGTGCATACCTTGGGGAGGGAAGGGAGCAATGCCTGGCCTCCCTCCCACCATTTTTTTTGGCCCATTGGGGTAGGAGGGCCTTGTTGGTTCCGAATGTCAACATGTCCCGGAGGGCAGGTGATTTTGGTAGCTGTAAGGGTCAGAGACAGCTTTTCAGATTTCCCTGTGCTGAAATGCATGCGGCTTGTGGTCTTGCTCCTCTTCCTCAGTGAAGGTGGCTGAAGGCCCCCACTTGTCTGAATACAGGGCTCACGTTGAGCCACCCCAGGGCAGGGGCAGGGAAGGGACAGGAGCAGGGATTCAAGCTGTCCTTTGCTTCTCTTCCCAGCCTGCTGGAGGCTCCCAGCCCCCTTTGGCAACCCGGACTTGCCATCACCATCACTTCTGAGACAAAACGAGCTCGATGTCTTCATCACCGTTAGTGATGTCTTCATTGCTCCCCACACACTGCATTGCCCTGGCTGCACAGCTGTCTCATATCAGCCCACAGCCAAGGTTTCTCCTTCTGACCCCTTTCCAGGCTCTTCTCATCTCCCCTCCCCAGTTCTGCTCCTTCATCCATTCCCCAGCTATCTCCTCTGGCTCCCGCCCTCATTGTTCTGGTACTGGAATTCAGATTTATCCCCTCAGGTGGAGACAAGATTCAATGCAACTGCCTTTTCTCATTCTTCTTTCATAGGAAATCAAAAAAACGCCCTATCAGAAAACTCAGCCTTCTATTTTTATTTATTTATTTATTTATTTCTGGGTGGAAGGGAGGCCACGTTATTTGTCAAGCACACCATTTGTCAAGCACACCTTATCTCCCTTGGATCATACATTCTTTGGGTCAAAACAGTCATTGTGAAGTATAGTATTAGCCCCATCAACATTATCTATTGATTATTTTTACCCCCAAAAAAGGAAATGTGGGGAATGTTAAGTTTGCATGGAAGATTCTGGGTTGAAATGCTAAGTTTCTGGGAGCCATTCTGAAACATAAGAGTAGTTCAAATGAGTTATTTTTAGTTTTGAAGTACCAAGAAAATCGTCAGAGTTTTTACTTAACGTTTTCTGGATCAAAATCCTAACAAACAAATGCCATTTCTACAATGACAAAATAGGTATTTCTGATTTTCATCATTTTTTCTCCAAAAAATATGTTCTTCCAAATCAGCAGTATTATAAATAACAAGGCACAGGGAGAGGGCACATAGTATGGCCTAATGAGGGAAGCTGAATGCCAGGAGGAACATTATGTACAATTAGGTCTTTTTTTTTTTTTTTTTTTTTCTCTTTATTTTGCCTTCTTCAGTTCCACTTTTTCTTAAGAGTCTGAGGTCTAAACAGCTGTCATCTTCCAGAGGCCTCATTGCTTTATGATATATTGTCCTTTGCTGTTTTGTACATTATTCAGAAAAGGAAACAAACAAAAGCATGTGGGTAGATTCAAAATAAATGGTAAAAAGACACAAAACCCTTGAGGATTTACCCCATTTTCATCTTTGATCCTTTATTTGACTGAAAGGACATCTTTCAGAGTGGTATTTTTCTCTGGTTGATAGCCAAAATGATGGAAAAAAAAAATATATCTAGCTTTGCTCGGTCGAGCTCGTCTGTCTGACACTGGAATTGGGAAACTTCTGCTTATACAGACTTGCCAGAAAAAAAGTAGGCCAAAAATTTACAGCTGTTTTTAATTTTGTTAATGATTGCCATAGAAAATTATCGGCGTTGTTTTCTTTGATCAGATTCCTCGTATGTCCAGCTCATGTCCAGCTCTCTGAAGGTGACAGAGAGACACCAGGTGTGTGCAGCACATCTCGTGCTGACCTGACCTCGCAGTGGGAGCTCAGCAAAGGAACTCAGCAAACTTGTCCCAGGGCAGCTGCTAACTCCAGGGTGTTTTCCTGAGCTCGTTTCAGGCAATGCATGTCCTCAGGAATGCAGCAGGTACACGGCGTTACAGCACCACATGCACCACCATCAGGGGACTGATCCCAGCCCCATTGATGTGTGGTCTCCTTGAGTAGCAGCTTGTTGCAGAATGTCTACTATTGCAATAAGGACAATTCCCAGTTTGTTTCAGAGCAAATTCTCTGCAGGAATCACTGGTGTTACTGAAGTCAGGAACTGGCACATGTGATACTGACTCCAGCCTGCAGCCTGCTCCTGCTGTAGGACTACAGCCCTCTGGTAGTTGCTAATCGCATATTTGGTGGAGGGCTGCTTAACAGTGTAGCTGAAACAGCTCTGAGCCCTGACCTTTAAGGTGCTGCCTGCAGGGATATGAATATTCCTGCTCTCCAAGTTCATACATGAAACATGGCACTTTTTTTTTCTTTTTTTTTCTGAATTCTCTTGGAAACAGATGCTGTTCCGCCTGATTTGCAATTCACGTTGGTTGGACAAATGTCCTGGTTTTGAGAGCAGTAATATTTAATGTTAGTTGATACACCAGGGTAGGCTGGGTGCCCTTTGCTTAACTCGACTAGGGAAAAAAAATCAAAAGGACAGGGTGCAAGTCAGCATCCAGATGTGTTGCACCACACTGGAAATCACCAACCAGAGACCAATTTCTAAAACAAATAGACTGCATATAATGGTGCTTAAGGAATGAAAGGGTATAGCTCTCACATATGACAGGGAGAGACCTCAGAAATAATTGCCAGGGCACTGAAGCACTAAGAGGCCAGTAAGGAGCCCCCCTGTAGTGTCCTGAAGATCAGTAAACTCTCAACCTTCCTAAGACCAGATGAACAAAATGTCCCTCGATCCCGAGTGGTTTTCTTAGCCTGGTCTTTGAAGCACTCCAGTGACTGAGATTTTGCAGGCTTTTATTCCGATACTTCATTATTCATCCTGTTAGACCACTTCCCTCACAACTCATTCATGTCTTACATTACACCATTTAAACCCATTATTTCTTGTCCTATTCACCGTGGACGTGGAAAAGAAGAGAAACCTGCTTTTCCATTGTAATGGACTCTTTCATATTTGAAGATATGTGCCTTTGAGTCTTCTTTAAAGCTGATCAGCCCAGATTCATTTCATCTTCCTCATTGGTCATGTTCACAAAGATGTGCTTTGAGCACCTTCTCTGCAGCTCTTTTCAGCCATGCAACGTGACGCATTCAGACATGGCCTTTGGAGCATCAGTGCTCAAAATTAAGAATAACCTCAGTTGCTGTCTAATGAGACCTTGCTGTGCAATGCTCCTGATGCATTTTGTTAGCAGACCCTTCTGTGAAGTTTCATTTTGGACTACAGGAATAGAGAGCTTGGGGCTATTAGTGTCAGCTTCTCCATAAAGCAACTTCAAAAGACAGCAAGAGAGAAGTGAGTGCCCCAGCTGGGCTGTACTGGTAGAGCCTCACTGGTCTGTGACCGGTTCATAACAGCCGAATAGGCAGACCAACAAGCTGTCATACTATTACTGAGAAAATAGTATGCTGGAAGGATTAATTTGAAACCCCTGAGCTGTCTGTGGGGCTGTCTGTGGGGATCTGTTTTGATTCTTAGCCTTGACCCGCTGATGTTAAAAGGGTTTCCCCCATAAGGAAAGGAAGCTGGAAGTTCCCCAGGTAAGCCACATGCAGCACAAACTGAGCTGACAGACCACAGATAGGGCTGGACCTGTTCTTAGCAGGAAGATGGGATTCAGATTGTTTGGTTTCTTTCTTTCTTTCTTTTCTTTCTTTCTTTCTTTCTTTCTTTCTTTCTTTCTTTCTTTCTTTCTTTCTTTCTTTCTTTCTTTCTTTCTTTCTTTCTTTCTTTCTTTCTTTCTTTCTTTCTTTCTTTCTTTCTTTTAAATTGTTTAGATTGAGTATGAGAATCTTGTGGTGGCTTGGCTGAGCAGTAAGGCATACACGCAGGTTGATGGCACTTGCAAAATGTATTGTGCAAAGGGATACAGCCGAGTTAGAGTGTGAGGGAGTTTATGGCAATACAAGCAATTAAAGAGGAAACAAACGACCCACTGTGCCAGGGGTTCATTGAGCTGTGCAGCAGTAGGTAAACACTTGTTCTGGGGTGATGATGTACCATACAGCGTGTTTAAGGAGCCAGCCTTTCGATTGTGTCCTCACAAGAATAAGACAGGTGTATTCTGGAGACAAAGAAGGAAAGATACAATTTGTTTCTTGCTGTTCTTTCTTATTTGTATTACAGGCATCAGGTAAAAAAGGTTACATATTTTATATAGAAGTTATTTTTTATATGCACTCACTGATAAAAATCTAAAAAGCTTCCAGGCAGCAATTTATCAGAGGTTTCATTAATGTGTGTATAGCTAATCTTTCATTCTTTGAGCCATCGCTTAAGTGGAAAACAGCGTGCAGGATCCCTGTGTAAAAAATTAACCTTGGCGGTCCATTAGATAAGTCAAATAATTCAGTGCATAACAGGAGGAGATTGATATTTCTGCATCATTTCTGACATCCTGTGCTTGCAAGGAAAGAAAATAACAATTGCAGTGTAAGAAAGACAAACTGTTTTTATCATTATTATTATTATTATTATTATTATTATTATTATTATTATTATTATTATTATTATTATTTCAGGTAGTGTCACACTGGTTTGCTGCATTTGAGTGATCAGAAGCTTTCCAGAGGCCAGTGTGTCTCCTGAAGTTGCCTAGCTAAAAGTCTGAGCATCTGTCACAAAGAGTCAAGACCACAGAGCCTGAGTCAATTAAACTTGCTGTGGCCACAGTAAAGATACATCTACAGCAAGCCAGCAATGGCAGCAGCCCAAGGTGAGACCTTACTGTGTCAGGCATCCCACCTTAGAGATATACGTGCTGCAACAGATCTTGACATTTTCGTGTTTATTACCTAAGGAGTTAAGGTGCACAGTCAGCATGGAGTCAGCGTTGCCTCCAGCCTTAGAGGGAGGATTCGGATAGTACTCCCATAGGTTATTGCTGTTCTGAAAGGATATTGAAAGCTCAAAAAACTCTTCCAGTTAAAATACACTGCCCGTAGTCCAGCAGCATGGGCTTTCTGATCCCTTCTGGAAGACTAACTTTGTAAAAAGGGCAGCAGCTGCTACATTGTTTAGCTGGACCTGTTTGTCCAGCCAAAGAGCTGCAAATACTGACCTTTGTGCTGCATGGAAGGCTCTGCTTTCCATGCTGTATAAAATCCCAAATGTTTCTAAAAAAAATCCCCCCACTTTGATATTTCTGTAGTTGAGAGGCTGTGTGTGGATCTGAACAATACATTTGCAAAGCCTACTTTGATTTTCTGAAAGATCCCTAGGTCTTTCCTCCTTGCACTTCCAAATAACCTGAAGCAAAAAACTTCCAGTGGACTTTTGGTTCCCTTACATGCAGATCTGATAACACAGAAGCCAAATTTTGGAATCACCTGAGTGTTATAAGTTGCCCCCTTAATTAATTTTCAGAGAGCATTGCATTAATAATGGAAAGGAATTTATTGAGTAAGCAACAGCAAGCAAAACAGCGCTGGGCGGCCGGGGAGTCTCGGCTCCACCAACGGCACACACCTCACCCCCACCAGGGTCCCTTTTTATATCTTGGTAATTCCGGGATTACGCAGCACATCCTGGTATATTCTGCGACTGCGCGCACTGTTGCTAGGGGGTCGCCTCTGTCCCTCTGGTGGTCGTGAAGATGAAGGCCGTAGTCTTCCTCAGCGTTGTGGTTCAACTTCTGTTTTTATTTGGTCATGTTGGCCCAGCGTGAGACAGGAAGGCAGGATGTTGATACACTAGTTTAGCAACTTATCAGGAGATGGTTACATGAGCTTTGCAGCAGGGTCTTTGAACAAAAGAGGCAACTGAGATGCAGAAGGAGAGAAGGGGAGGGGGTTCTCTTTTTTGTTACATTAAGCAAAGGAATTTTCATAGTGTCTAGCCAAGTATTATACAGCTCCTTACTTCAGCAGGGAACTTCCGCAACTCCCGCTCCTCAAACGGAACTCCTTGTTTTTATAATACAACAGACAATGAACAAACATTTATTGTGTATTACACTGAGCACCCAGCTTCTCTCTTCACCTCTGCACTTGCTCCCGGTGAGGCCACCCACCTTCCATCAAGGTTCCAAGACATACAATCTAAATACTCATATTAGATGTGTCCATTAAAGATTAAAGAGCAATGTTTACAGAATTTTTATTTTAATGTAATATATTATTTTAATATAATATATTATTGTAATATAATATATTATTCTAATGAATTACTAACAGAGATCTCAGTGCTGGACTGTCTTGCTGCTGGGCTTTTTGGCTGTGTGTATAGGTGTTTTTCTGGAGGAGCAGGCCCAGGAAACAGTATTTTGAAAGGGGAAAGACTGAAAAAAATGCTTGAGGAAATACATCCATCACTTTCAGAGAAACTAAAGCCTCTCGGACAGCATGTGAGATTCAGCTACAGTGGAGGTGAAGGGATGGAACGAGGGAAGGGTGGTGGCTCCCCATGAGGTAACTTGGTGTTCACCAAGTCACAAGAGGACATGACATTTAGCTGTTCCCGAAGAAATCTAAATCCCAGCAGGGCTCTTTTAGCATGGGACTCTCAGTACCTCTGTGCACCTCCTGCTTTGATGCCTCTAATGCCTCGTAGAAGTAACATGCAGGAAAGGCTGACATGAAGAGCTATGAGGTGAGAACCAAGGGCCAAATCCTGTGCTTGGAGCAAGAGTCGTACTATCGTGTCATCCTAACCAACTCCAAACAGTCAGATAACAAAAATCAGGCAGTGCCATCCAGTCACACCAAAATCCTGGCTCAGCAGAAGGCCTCTCTGCACGGCCTGGGGGCAACAGCAAGGACAAAGCTCTCCCCTGTAACACGGCCACGACAGGCTTTGAGCTCAGCCTCTGAAAGTGCAGAGCGCTCGTTTTGTTGTTCGTGGATAATCCCCCAAGCAAAAGCTGGATATTGGTCTCTTTTATTCTGGCTCTGCAGTTGCAGTGCTCGAAAAGAAAGCCCCTGGCCCCCCACCTGCTGCTCCTCTGAACTGCTGACACCCAGACAGGCAGCCCCAAGGCGGGGCCACTGGCATTTATTTAGCTCACTGCTGCAGACCATGCCCTTAGTGCCACAAACCGCCCTGGAGACAAGTCCTAATCGTCTGGGGGGGTGATTATGGTCAATTCTTCCTCCCCAGACCCCCAGACATAAATCGGATCCAAACTGGAGAGGCAGGAAGGCACGCAAGAGGGGACGCCGGCACCGCGCAGCCCCCCCGAAGCCATGTACAGGAGCAGCTTCCTCCGCGAGGTCCGCAAGGAGAAGTACGAGCGCTCGGACGCCTACGATGAGCTGCGGGGCTCCCCCGAATTCGACAGCTTGGCCCAGGCCCAAGGCCTGGAGAACCTGCAGGAGCTGAACGAGCGCTTCGCCAGCTACATCAACCGGGCCCGCGTGCTGGAGCAGCGCAACGCCATCCTGCGCAAGCAGCTGGACACCTTCCAGCGCATGGACGAGCTGGTGGGCTTGGACGAGGCCTTCGCTGGGCAGAATGAGTTCAACCGCCAGCGAATGCGGGAGCTGGCGTCTGACCGAGCCAAGCTGGAGCGGGAGGAGAAGGATGCCCAGCGCATGCTCGACGAGTACCGCAACAAGTAAGGCTCGAGAAGGGAGGAAAAGAGGCAGTGTTGTTTCTGTAGTTACGTCCTGAGGACAGGTTTGGTCACTAGCTGCTTCTCTTGCATGGGTGATGTCTCGCTGTGTGTTTCAGGCTTGTGGCCAGGGACAGTGTGTAGGACTTGGGGAGCTCCAGCTCTGCATTTCACGGCCTTTCCAATCGGCTTTCCCTGTCTGTGGCAGCAGGTCTTCCCGTGGTGCATTTTGGATGCGGGTGCTTGGAGGGCTGTGCTCCAAGCTGCAAAGAGGGAATAGCCCAATTTAAAAAGTAACATGGCTCAAAGTGAGCCTTGTGTCTGAGCAGCACAGAGTTAGGGGACCCCAGACATCTGAAGTAACGTAGGACATCTCCAAGAAACTTAATTACAGGTACCATAAGTCACCTGGGCCAGTCTGTGCTAGCCACTACAGATGTGGATGAAAAGAAAGTATTTTTTTCCTGGTATGTGAAAGGGACTTGCCTAATTGCCCTCCTCTTTTTCCTTGCATCCCAATAGTTCTGTCTTGTACTACTTAAGCAATACCTGTAAGAACAGTTTTTTCCTAACCATCTCTCTTTAACGTCATAGGCACAATAAATCAAAGGGTAGGAACATTGAGGGGCTGAGGCATCCAGGTGCCTCCAGACACATGTGGTCCCTTCTCTCCAGCAAAAGTCAGTTTTGGCTATGTTGCTTAATTAACTATACAACAAGACTTGGTGAGTGCTGCTGATATAAGGACTGCTCACAGGAGAGAAGGGAAAAATTAGCAGCAGTGTAGAGACTGAAGTGGAAATTTTCATCTTCCCCACCAAAGAGTGAGGGGTGAACTCTATATAACACGCTCTAGTTTAGAAACCCTTCTCACTGACACTGTTGGGAAGGAGAAAAAATAAACGTTTTCAAGAAACACAGCCGTGGTAGAAGTACTGCTGCTCCCAGGCAGTGCTCACTGCGCTCACCAGAAACAGTTTTAATAAGGGAGAGGGTGAATCAGCGGGAGCAGCACCACATTGCTGCTGCAGATATACATACATGAGTCAGTGGAGATCTCATCCCTTGTCTCCATCAGACTTTTTGTCAGGCCTTGGCCAAATCACATCAATTTTCGGTCTGATCCTCTACGGATTTCATCTGGACTGGTAAGTGTCAGACAGTTTGTACTTCCCTTTTGTTTTTGCAACCATTTTGCACAATTGGAATGAGCCAGAAAGCAGACGTGAGACAACTGACGTGGTGACCATCTGTGTCCTGAGCCATGGTTTGGTGATACATTGCTCTCAGGAGCTGTACAGTCCTGACACACCCTCACCTGCCCTCTGAAGCCCTGCCTGCTGCCCAGCACACACCTCCTGCTCCACTGTGCTGCTAGAGCTATTCATGGAGCAGCTGAGAAGTTCATTAGGAAAATGAGCCAGATAAAAAAAAATATTAAATATTATCTGCAACCCAGCTCAGTGACCTGCCACACAAACAGCATGTGGGAGCTGGGAGCTACACCGAAGAGAGAGAAATGCCAAATTCCCATCTCTGCTTGTTGTCTGAAAGCACAGGACAGCCCCTGCAGGGGTGCTGAGACTTTATGCTGGAAGTGGTCAGGAGTTCACGACTCAGTGTTAGAGGCTAACAAGCACCTGATGAGGCAGTTTTGTATTTCAGTAATTGTGAGCAGGCAATTGAGCTATGAGCCAGTGCTATAATTTACCTGTCTGCTGTGATACTTGTTCATTTGTTCTCATTACACAGTGTCGGTGAGATTTTGACTAAACTCAGTGCTGGCTGCATGGTAGTTAAAATATATATGCAAACTGTGTAGAAAATACCTTTTGATGGATCCCTGTGTCCACCTGGGCAGTCTGCTCAAAGCCATCCTGATGGCTATACTTTCGGCTACTGAAACTCACGAATAGGCTCTCTAAACAGTATATGGGAGCAATAATTGTGATGTTGGGGTCTTGACATGCTCCTAAAGCCAGAATTATTCCCTTGCTGCAGACCTCTCCCACCCCACTCCATGTTCAGTGGCAGCACGGTGCTCTCGCTGCACTTGCAGCTTAGGGGATTCTTGATTCATTTGGGCACATAAAGCACCTACTTCAGCATGTTGGGATTAATGAAATCTCTTAAGAGTGCCACGTTGTGTACCAGTTATTGAAAAATGTCTGGGCTTTTCACTAACATAAAGAATTTTACTCTTGCAGCCCATTCATTTACTCACACTCACAGTTTGGGAAGTAGATTTATAGCTATAACCACACCTTTTAAAGCTACATTTAAACACAGTAGGCACTGGGACCACTGTGTCTGTGAAATTAAATGCGCACGAACCAGTGGAAAGTAGATCTTCTGTTTAAATTTATTTTTAAGTCTTCTGTAGCCACATTCATAGCTTTTCACATTAAAATGAATAATTCAGACTGTGCCAGTGGATAATTCTTTCTCTTGAATTTGCAAAAAAGCGTTGCTAAGAATTGTTTGGATGCAGCTCATGAAAGGGCTAATTATGCTAATTTTATTGAGCATCATTATTACAGCAGCATTACATCTGTCTGTGGGAAAGGACTGTATTTCTCTCTCCATGAGATCCAGAAGGATACTGAAACCCGGGTTTTAGCACCCCTGACTGAACAGGATTAATTAACTTCAGGAATTAAAAGTCCTGCTAATCGACCATTTCATTTAGAATGCATTCAGTGCTAATATTGCGGGTTTTGCCTGTACAATTCCCTGGAAGTCGCTAGGCACAGAAATTGGCGCTTGGCTCTCCCATCAGTGCGGCGCAGTGATGCTCAGACAAGATGACACCCTCTGGGGCTGCACTGGAGACCCAACACTGATGAGAGGTAACAAAACGTGATAGCTGGGATGACCAGAGATGTGGGGACTCGGCAAAGCCATCTTCAAACCCTGTCAGCAGGGGTTCTCTGCACTGCCACCACTTCTCTGGTGGTACAGAGAGTTTTATCTGCTGCAGCTGCAGGTGAGGAGGTCCTGCCTCCCTCCATCCACTCCTCAGAGTGCTGAAATCTTGCACCATGGCTGTGAGCCACTTGACAGCAGCTTCTTGCTAATGCAGGTAGCAATGTATTCACAAATCGGCAGAGCAGAGCCTGCACGGGGCTCATCCTAGCTCGCAAGGTTTGCTAAAATGCAAACATTATTAGCCTGTCTGTCATCCTTGTAGGACCAGCATTTGCAGTTTGTGCTCTCTTTGGCCCCCTAATTTCTACTGTTTCTGTTAAGAAAAGTCTAGTGAAGTGCCTCAGAAACTTGTCAGTAGAAAACTTTGCAGTAGAAAAGTTTTGTCTTGGCTTGTGGCAAGCCAAGAAGATTCCTCCTGTATTGCTGGAAGAGTTCATCAGAGTTCAGCAGAGAGGCAGCATTTGTTCCCTCTTCATGTTGAAGACACAGGCTTGACACCAAATTGAGTATCCAGCCACTGAAGCTCACTAAGTGGGTGGGTGTCTTGTGAATGTTTTCTCTTTGAAGGGATGCCAGCCCTTGCACTGCAACAGGGACAAGGTCTAAATACAAAGGGCCTTGCCCTGCCCCATCTTCCAAGAGCAGACACAGCCTGTTTGTCAGCTGAAGCTGGGAGAAGTTATTTACGGCATTGCTGGAGCTGTGCTTCCCAGGTGAAGAACCAAGCCTGGCATCAGGCTCCCCTCCTGCATGCCCAGTGGTCTCACAAGGCCAGCACCTGTAACCGTACAAGGGTTCAAGGGGCTTAGCAAATGTCTGTAAATCTGTAAGTGCCCCAGCAGAGAGCTGTTAACCTCAGGAAGGTGAGGTAATGGGAACCTTCACGGCTCTGTTCTGCTCTGTTTGAACCTGGCAGCTCCATCCACTCCATTTCTTTTCCCCGATGCAAAAAACAACGAATAATGCTTTTTTTTAACACAGTCCAAGGAGGTTTATTGCATCCCTAAATCTACCTGACTGAGTGAGAAAGATTTTTTTTTTCTTTTCAAAAAAGCAAACGAACCTCATGGCTCTGAAGGACCAGGAAAGGCTGGCCAGCAACCATCTAAGAAACATATGACCTCTTTTAAACACTACTCGAATGTGGAAATCAGGTTTGAAGCAGCACAGTGCTGCAGTTTGTTAGCCACTGCACCTACATAACATTTCAGCATCACAGGGGCATGCACATTTCACCATAAGGGCTCTGAAGCATTCCTAAGAGGCCCTTAGCCCTTTTGCGTTGAGCTTATGGCGTGCGTTGAAAATCACTTAGAAGCAGTCCTTGTTCCAAGAGAAATCACACATTGCTAACTGTATGTGCAGCTGAAGGCTGCCATGTGGACTGATGGCTGGGTGGCAGAGCAGGTATTTGGGTTGTTTGAGAATGAAGGAAAACAGAGCTGAGTATTCCGGTCGTTGGAAGGAGTTTTGAGTGAGGACCCAGCAATCAGCCAGATTGGAGCAGGCCTGAAAGGCATCAGGACTCAGACCCTGGCACTATTGTTTTTTTTTCTTTATTACTAGGAGTGTAAACCCAGCATTACAGTGTAGTGATACTTTTAATTTTCACAAGCTGCCACAACGTGCTTTATTCTTTCCCAGTTGCCAGAAATTGTCGAAGTTTATGAAGTTTTCCTTGTTGAGTACACACAATTTATAAGGTAGAAGGTTGGTTGGAGGTGAGATACTTAATAAACAACAGATACAAAGGCAGTCTTGCTTTTGAAGCTGAATGTTCTTATCTGTATCCTTGGAAGTGGAGCTTGAGTTAATACAATTCGGCAAAAAAGACGTTGTTTTAGTTTAGTTAGAAAACGGCACTTGGCAGAGGAGGCGCGGAAATTTGTAGGAATGACGATGAAATGAAACCTCATGGGATTTATTTTCTTCTTTGCTGTTCACAATAAGAATTGAAAACAGCCCAGTGACCTGCCCAGGTAATATCATTCAAAAGAAGAAGTTGGGAATCCAGAGCACCAAGTCGAACCCTTTCCTTTGCTCTGCCGAGTTCTTCCATCGTGTTCCTGGTCAGATCCCATGAGTGAGCCCTTCCTGTTGGCTTTCCGAGTCATGCTGAAAGAGGTGGGAATAGCATTGGCTGTTCATTCTTCAGGACATATAAAGAAAGGAGATGGAAGAAAAAAAGGAAAAAAAAAGTAATAGTAATGCATAAATAAATCTTCTGGCCCCATTCAAGGTTCATATTTTGTTTTAATGTTAAGCATATATTGTACATGACAGTGCAAATAAAAATGCAGTTTGCAGAAGGATGTGCCACTGAACTTCATCTCGTTTGTTCTGTTTGCAGGTACAGAAATGAACGTGAATATCAGCAGAAGCTAAAAGAAACCCTTGAACGCCTCAATAAGGTAAACCTGGAAAAATGGAAAAGAAAAGGTCTTCATCTTTTTTTTTTCTTTTTTTTTTTTCTTCTGTGGTTTCATTTACTCCAGCAAGCTGTTTTGAAGTCCCTGTGACCTTCTTCTTTTGAAGAATTGCCTTAGTTCTGCAAAATCATTTGGGAATATGCCTCATTTTTTAGACCATTCTGAAATTTTCTCTCTGTCTCGTAAACCTTCCCCTTCTTTTTTGACTGCTTAGGCACCACTGAAATTTTTGGTGGTGTCTGACTGCTGTTTTAAGCCTTGGGGGCCTTTAGTTTAATCCAGCCAGGTCACTAATTGGACTCCATTCTTTCGTATGGTCTGTTGCCCTATTGAGTCCTAAAGAGTAGGAGCTGATTTCCCTAAATAAACAGTATTTTAGTTGTAATTACATCCATGGGGGTTGTTAGATTTTAGTTCGAGGTTTGCGTAAGGCTAATTCTGCTGAAGATGAGAGTTTTGGTTGAGAGGGTTGCTACTGGGATCAGTACAGCAGTGCAGCAGTCTTCTTACATCAGCAAAGACACGTTTTGTTAAGGTGTTGTAACCAAAGGGCCGACTTCAAGCAAATTGCAGGTGCAGATGTTAAACTTGTTTCCTTTCCAGGCATTCCTCTGGGCTTCTTTAAGTATTGCCTTACTTACCAGTGGCTTTCAAACCTGTGGCAAGCCTTCATGACAAGCAGCATCACAGGAAGAACCGCCTCTGCTGGAACCCTTTCAGTTTCCTTCCAGTTTGTGTCTGTGGTTCTCTGTGGAAGAGAATTGGGAGCGAAGGTGAAAGAAAGACCATTGCAGAGATAGTATGTAGCATCCAAACTGCCTCCCGGGGAAAGCCAAAACAGCTCTCTGAATTTGTTTAAAGCAAATGGAGAAGAGATGTTGTGTTAAAACTTGGAATGGAGGAACAATTGCAATGAAAGGGTCCTTTATTTCCTTCCCCTGTTTTGCTGGCTTTTGGCCTCTTTCTCCTGAGTAAGCTCATGTGGAGCTTTCTGTTCTGCTGATACACTGTGCTGTTGTGTTGTAAAGCATCACCAGTGAGACCAGCCTATCTGAAAGCAAGGGAAACAAAAAACAAAAGTATTTTCCCCTTTGAAGGAACATTGGAAAGCCAAATGCTGCTTTTGCTTATTACATGCAGAAATATTTGCTTACCTAGGGACCTGGGGGCTTTTTTTGGCTCTCCACAAGCCTCCTAACATCCCCATTGTTGTACTGATCTTCTTCTCAATAGGACAGCAGAGGAGTGCAGAAAAGCAGCGTGCGTTGGTGATGACTGGCTCCGAATGTGCCGGTCTGGATTAGCTGCTGTCCCACAAAGCAGGGAGATGGCTCTAGAGCAGAGCGGGTACATGGGTGGCCTCCGAGCGCGTCAGCAAGCCTGGCTGGGAGGCTCGGCAGCATAATGAAACAGCTAACATCCACACATTTTTGGAACAGAGCATGCTGTGCATGTAAAAAAGAAAAATCCCCTTCTACCAGTCACATGCTGCGCCCATGGATTTTTGTGCTTTATTTTCAATGCATGATCCACTCGCTGAGGCATAATTGCAGCTGGTAATGACACGTACGTAATTTTAGAGGGACTCATTTAAATCCTTTTTTTTAAAATGTATTGCTCTTAAAATGCAACATCTGGGGTGACACTCACTGAATTCTCCCTAAAATGTTCCTTTCTTAAAAAAAAGGGGGCTGGGGTGGGACCACCAACCCTCCTATTCTGGTACAATGTCTTAGAGCTCAGTAAAGGCTTTCCAGCTATAAAGCACCATAAATCCACCACTTTTCAGTTGGACAAACTACACAGTCATTTCCAGTTAGGTCTTCTGTGAAGTACAGTGAAGTTTTCTGAGAAATAACAATTGTAGCAACTTCCAAGCTACTGTGAGCAATGCAGATGGTGAAATTCAGATTCTTGTTCTGCTCTAGTCTATAGCACTGAGGTCAAGTTTGAGTCTTTTTTTTATGTATATATATAATTACACGTATATATATGCATATAAATATAATAGAAGCTTCTGCAGCAAACTGACTTTTTCGGTTTTGCTCATCTGTCATGTTTAGTTCCAGAAATGGGTCCAAACCATTTGTGATTTGTAAGAACACACCAAAAGGAGAAGTGAAAATAGTTCGGACCAGTCTATTTCATAACAGATTTTTTTCTGGGAATAGTAAAAAGATATCAAGATACTTTAGGTCTTATCATAAACACCGGAGAAATCAATGCCTTACTGTGCTGATGCCATCCATTTAAAACTCATGCCCCATGGCAAGATTTAGCATCAAACATCGGTGTTCCCTAGTGTCTATTGCTTGGCTCCCAGCATTCAGAAAGCATATGATAAACATGTTTTAACACTGCCAGTGCTAAACTGCATTGTACACTATATTTGTGCAGAAAAGCAGGGTGTGCAATGGGAGAACGTGGTGTATAAAGTGTCTACTTGTTGGTTTCATAGCCCTTCTGCTGTCCCAGTAGGCTTCCCATCCCTGCTCAGGTTGCTGCCCTAATGGGACGATTCCCACTGTGGGTTTGTGGCACTGCAGCCGTGGGTACTGAGATGTGTCTCTGCCTTGCAGGAAGCGGACGAAGCGCTGCTGTGCAACCTGGAGCTGCAGATTGAGTCCCAGTTCCTGCAGGATGACATCAATGCCACGAAGGACAGATACAAGAAGGTAACCGGCTGGGTTTGCCATCTCCTTCAGGTCTTTCTTCTGGAGACACGTGTGAGGCTTTGCCCTTCTCTGCGGTCTGTTCCAGTGGCCAATTAAAGCACATCCAGTTTGTGTTTTAGTGCATAAATGCAGCACTTTGTATATTCAGTGATCACAACACACTGCAGTGTGGGATGGATCCCAAGGGCTGGATGGCTGCAGGCATCCAAATTGACTCACTCAGGGTCCAACATTGACAGCTGTAGCAATGTTTTGCATTTGTTGACCAGTTATCATGATTTCAACACAGCAGGCCAGTCAAGCTGTCTTATAGTTCATGCTAAGAAGCTCTTGCTCTCGTAAGAGAGGGTTTCCTGATCTTCTGGGTCAGCATTCCAGTTAATCTGTGGCCATTAGCCTGTGGCCAGATAATTAAATTGCAGCCAGTTTTAATACATGCAGCACCCTTCTCCTTCTTGGGAGAGCTGCAGGGCTTTGTACCAGGTCAGGGTCCCATCTTTGCCACTTTTAAAACAAGAGGCTCACTTTTTTGGACCACATGCAAAGGTATCTTTTGGTCCTTATTTTGCAAGAGAAATTACATAGTCTTTAAGTAAGGCTGTGAAGTGTATTGTCACTTAGACAAATGCCTGTAATGTATCCCAAATGTGGTGAAACTCATAGCACCTGCAGTTGAAATCTGGACTAAAACCTCATGGAAAAAAATACGTCTTAACATAACCTGAACTTCTCTGGGTTGAAAGAACTAAATATCTAGGAACAGGCCCCAGAAGTGTAAAACATTGCAGGAAGCACCTTGCTATGACAATTGCTGATGAAAATGTTTTTTACTTCACCCCAGAACCTTATGGAAATCCAGACCTACGTCAATATTTTACAGCAGATCATCCAGACAACCCCTCGCGTGTCCCCCATAACCACTGGCATATCTGAGGTAAGCATTGCTGTCAGTAAATGCATACTGCACAGTCGGTACTAAGTAAAAAAGAATCCATGTTTATTCTTAAAGCCTGACTGATCGTCTAACTACTTAGCTGAAAACCGCAACAACTGTGATTAATTACTGGATTCTGAATAGGAGAGAAAACCTAACTCTAGCTTTGGAAAACTGAAGTGGGCAGGAGGAGGGGCACTGTGTTGGTCGGGTGCATGCCAGCATGGGTATTAGCCCCAGAAATGGCTGGGGCACAGATGGTCAAGTAGCTGTGCTCCCATCTGAGGAGGAGCTGGCAGGACGTATGAGTATTTTCAGACAGTAAATCTTGTCTGGGAGGGTCAAGATGTGGTAAAAATTTGTAAATAAAATAAATTGCTATGGACAGGATGGAAATTTGGTGATTCCCACCAATGTGAGTGGCTATGCTCACATTTATTAGCTGGAAGAAGATGTGAACAGCTACATCCATAGGGTCTAATTTCAACATAAGCCGTACTTTTACAGCACTGCCATATGATGTCTTTTATTCATAAAGTCATGCCACAAGGCTTTTCTCGAGGTTCACTGTTGAGCTTTCTATGTGTCTTTTGCCATTTTCTGATTGCCTTTATGGTTTGTTTTCAGTAGCAATTTCTTTTGACTGTTTTTAATGGTGTGAAACTTACGTTCCTGTCCACATTGTTTTCTTCCAACCAGGAAAAACTGATAGCAGAGAGGAGGATCCCTGTTCTACAGAGCCAGCTGGAGGAATACAAGAGCATCCTCTGCCAGCTACAGGCACAAAAATACAAGCTGCAGACAGAGGTACTGCCATAGCTAGCCATAAACACAACCACAATTCTTGTAAACTCTGCTGTTTCCATGGCCTCATGGTAAATCTGAGTGGCTTTTAACAGGGTTTTGGGAGCACAGAGGAGTTGGAGACCCGGAGTTGTGCTTTCCTTTTGGTTTCCATCTTTTCCTGCAGATCTTTCATTCTTGTCCACTTGGTGGCCCAAATTATTGGGTTTTGATGGCCAGGCAGGGCTGTGCAGTGGGTGTCCTGGCCATGATGAAGCCATCTCAACTTTAGTGGAGCAGCTGGTGGGAGAAGGTTTCCACATCACAGATAAACTTCTGTGGGGTCGAGTCAGCAGGAGGCTGTGGATAGAAAAGTGATGCAAGGATGGTCTCACTGTCTTACTGAGGTCAGGCTGGAAGCTGACCCCATGAAAAATGATGGGGGATCTTCGGGGCTCTGCCCAGTGCTTCCCGTCAGTGCCACATTGGATGCTGAGCTTGCTGTGAGAACAGCTGGGTAGACTTGGTAATCAAAACTGAATGTCCTTTGACACAGGTGTCCAGCTGTGTTTGGCATCATGCATTCATCCCTGTCACTAACGAGCACTAAATAGCACCTGTCCTGTGTTTAGAAGCTACCAACAGCAAAAACAGCTGCTTTCTGCCAATTCCTCATTTGCAGAAAACGGCTGCCCATTTCTTACTGCTTACTCATTTTTCTCATTGCTCCTGCCCATCTCCCTGACAAGCCTGCAGTAAATCAGCCTTCCTCCTCCAGCCAGTGTCTGAGTGAGCAGTGCCAAGATGCAGGAGGCGAGGACAAAGGAGGCAAGAGATGGGGTAGCAGCTGAAGGCTGCGCTGAAACCAGCCTCATAGAACTGCAAATGTCAGATCTACCTCAACACAGCTGAATGTTTTCTTAGCAGATAGGGTGAGAGAATGATCACCTTATACCCTCCAAGTGCAGCTTCTTTTGTGCCTCAGGCTGTCAGTACTCTGTATGTGTGGGAAGGGCTGATACAATAATAAAATACCTTGTGGTGGGATTTTGGATTCTTCTAGATGGCTGTAGCAGCAGCTCCAACTTTTAGGGCATAACTTTTCTCACTAGAGTACATGGGGATGGTGGTACCCCCAGGTCTTTTCCTCAGTCTCTTACTCTTGTCTGATGCTTTGTTGGAAAGGACAAATGTGCTCCAGCGAGGGCAGGAATCAATATAGTGACAAGTGAGATCACAAATCAATATAGAGGCAGGAGGAGAAAATCACCCTTCTGCTGGCAAATGAAGAGATGTGCTCTTTGGGGAATTAATCGTGCTGCTTTCAAAATGAAATCTTCATGTCCCATTTAGTGATAATTTATTAATTGATTCCTTCTCACACTTTGAGAAAAAAAAGAGTGAAATACATGATTGGAAGGCAATGACATGGTTGCTTGTGACAGCAAAGGCTCACTCTGATGACTGAGTTGTCTCTGAGGGCCTTTGCTCTCATATTTCTGAATATGACAACCACATGGCACCCAGGTTATGAATTCCACCTTGTGATCACTGAACGCAGAAGGGGTTCACCTGTTGGTGCACTCTGACACCACAGCATAAACAAATTAATGCCAAGGGACTTACCTCCTAAATTCAGGCTCTTAAAACGTTTTTGAAACTCTTGCCTGTAACATAGATGGATCAATCAATTATTAAAGAATCCATTAGCCAGTTATTGTCCCATTAGCTTTTTGTGAAGGCATCTCTTTAAAAAGTGTTTGAAAAAGGAAAAAGAAAGTCCTAAGTGATAAAGAAACTATGATAAATAGCCAAAAACCAGCAGATTAAAGCAAGACCAGAATTACACAGTCAAATAGCCCACTTGTAAATCCTGTCCCTTGCTTCAGCAAGGAACTCACGCCACCTGCTGGTTAGTGTGCACTCCAATGACTGCTACTTAGGCCTTACTGCACAAAGTCTCAAAGTCTGTTTTTTTGTTGTTTTTTTTTTTTCTTTTTTCCTTTTTTTTTCCTTTTTTTCTTTCCTACAGTCAAAAAGCCCAGGAATAAATGAAAAAGGGTAGCGCTTTTCCTTCCTTCCTTCCTTCCTTCCTTCCTTCCTTCCTTCCTTCCTTCCTTCCTTCCTTCCTTCCTTCCTTCCTTCCTTCCTTCCTTCCTTCCTTCCTTCCTTTCTTTCTTTCTTTCTTTCTTTCTTTCTTTCTTTCTTTCTTTCTTTCTTTCTTTCTTTCTTTCTTATAATGATCCTTCCTTATCCTCCAGTGCTTGGTCTGTGGACCACGGCTAAGGAAGAACAGGTTTTGCCTGCACACATTTTCCCAGCTGTTAAGCTCTTTCTGCCTACCAGAGATGAGAGATGGCTCCTTTTTCTCTTAAGACTCTGCCCACTCTTCACAGGCTGCCCACGGTGAGCTGCAGCTCATGCAGTGAGATGTCAGCCAGCCCCATGTGCACAGGGAAGGAGACATGACACAGCTCTTTCCCTGCTTCAGACTGTGTAGTGGGAGACCAGGGATAGACGAGGGGATGGAGATGTATTGGATTTGAATAACTAAACAAACACGGTGAAACTGTAAGTCAGCAGTGCAGCATCATACAGCTTAATAAAGCTGTTTATTAACAGTTAATACCTGTTAGACAAAATGCCTGTTAGGTGGGGATGCCAAATAATTTAGAGCTGATTCTTTTACTCACTCGCTAACTTTGTCTACCAGACAACCATGCTGGAGCAAGCGATTAAAAACACCCAGGAGAGTTACGACGATGAAATTCAGCTTTACAACGAGCAGATCGAAAACCTCAGGAAGGGGATAGAAGAAGCTGAGAGGACCTTGGAGAAGTACACGACCGACTGCCGCCAGCTGGTGATCTACCAGCAGTCCCTGGAGAACGAGCTGGAACGCTACAAACGCATCATCGAGAACGAGGACAGCCGGTAAGGCTGGGTTTGTACGCTGCCAAAGGGCCTGCTGATCTCTTCCATCTCATTTGAAAAAATGTCTGTTCAAGGGCAAATGTCCTGTAAAGCAAAGCACTCCTCACAGCAAAGCCACTCTTCAGGCAAGGGAGGAAAAGGGTAAAGAAAAGTGCAGGTTGTGCTTAAATCAACAAAGGAGCACTGGCTCCCTAGATGTTGCCCATCTGCCTCACAAGAGGCAAGGAGCTGGGCTTTCACAGCAGTGGCTGGTGCCAATTGCACGGGCTGCTGCTGCAGGGCCAGACCCCTGGGTGCCCAAACCACTGCCCTGGGTCATCCAGAAGATGCAGGGAAGGACACTAACTCATAGCCAATTCAGTGTTTCACATATGGGCAATAGATTTTTAATCCAACTTCCAGCATCTCATTTTGGACAGTGTTTTGATCAGGAGTATCCCATTAGGGTAATTCTCAGCACTGAAAGTCAAGATTTGGCTCTTTCTCTTGGCTGCAAGAGGAGCTGCAGCGCTAAGCTAGGCACAGCTCTAGGTCTAAGTGTCTGCACGGTGTGTATGTCCTCCCCCCAGGCAAAAATCTTCTCTCAAGTGCTGGCAGAGCAGACTTGCACAGGCCACAGATATGGTAACTGGTTTGTGTGTAGGAGAATCTACATTTTACCACTGGAGCCATTTTTTCCCTTTGAAATGAAGTTACTGTCATGCTTTAGAAGTTAAATAACAGATATGAACGTATGTTGGAAGCTACACGGTAGGGCAAAAGATGGTGTATTTCTCTGAGAGACTCAGCCAGCTCCAGGGTGAAAGGCAGACAGAGCCACCTCACTGCAGAGTTCACTGAAGTGACTGATGCAAAGAGCTGCAGGTGCAGCTTTGCATCCCTTTCATAGCCCTGGACTGGAGGCTATTGCAAAAGCGTGTATGAGTTGAAGCAAATCTTATAGGCCAAGACTTTTTCCATACACAGGCTCAAAACACTCAGGGTCTGACTCACCTGGTGCCTTCTGATTCCTCTGTCGAGGAGAAGCTCAGCATGAGACTAGCTTTTTATCTGTATCTTGAATCTTTATTTTTTCATGACTTAGAGACTTATTAAGTCTTTTTTTCCCCCCACAACAAAGGGAGACACTCTTAAAAGTCATAAAAGGGAAAACGAGCTGGTGCCTGTTGATGTGTGCTGCCAGCTTTCCCCCTCACATCGCAATGTACGGCCGCTTCCTCGGGGGCACACCCCTTGGTCCCTGTTCTTGCTGAGGCACAAGTGGGAGGCAGAGACACAGCTCCTGCTGACGTACAGGTCTTGGCAGGCCTGGGCTGACTGCTTGCCATCCAAAATCTCCCCATCCTTTCTGAGTGCTGTGGTAAAGTACAAACGTGTCGCTGTGGGTTTTTATTACCAGTGTACTGCTCCCGACTCCTGCTGGTAGAAGCCAGCCTGATGCCTGTGAAGGTGCTGTGGCTGTATTGACCCAGACAATGAACAGGCTCCCATTGCTCTCTTTAACTCCTCATCACAGAGAAATGCATTTCTTTAACCTCCGTGTTTCATTTTGCACGATTTCACTTGCTCCTGATGGAAATGAGGGGAGAGGTCTGACCGATGCGCATCTTCTCCGGCAGGTTAAACTCTGCTATAGCAGGAACGCCAGTCACACTCTTCACGCAGATCTATAGACCTGTCCAGCCTCAAGCTTCAAGGGGAAGAGGTAAACCTGTGCCACGTCTTCCTGTGTCTGTCAAGAGCAGCATCACTGTAATTTAAGCTGTTTTTCCATTTGTCTTCCATATGAACACCAGCTGCAACAGCCTGACTCAAGGCTTGTTCAGTAAATGCAGTGGTTTCAGCTTAGCTCAGCTGCCTTTGGGACAAGCTGTCAAAGGCCAAAGCCACAAGCAAACATTTTTTTTTTTTTGCTTATTTTTGCAGTTTTCTACTTACGCCAATCAATAGAGCAAAGTCAAAGGCACCTGAAACTGTGCAAGGAGCTGGGGTGTATTTTGCTGGCTTGCTGCAAGTTGTCCCACACTTAGATCATGTGCAGGCAGCATCAGGACAGGGTTAGTGCGGCAGGCCGGCAGAGGATATTGCTTTCATCCTGTTTATGTGCCGTGGCCTGGTCTCCTCGGGACGGAGAGCTTCCTCTGTGCTGTAGGATTGCCTGTTAGAATCAGGATGTTTGTTCCATTTCCCAGTGACATGGGAATGGCCAGGACTAAACAGGGGACAGCTTAACAAAAAGGGGAGTTTGTTCATAGAGTGGGGAGTTTGTAGTTAGTTACAGCACACACCATCGCTCACTATAGCTGAAATCCAAGGTCGCTGGGTTTTTACTGGCAACAAACCACTCCTGAGATTGAAGATACACTGTCTTTTGTTGAATAAGGGCTGGATTTTTTTGGAGTGTAGGTGTAATTTGTCTAGCTGTCCTGTGAAATGTAGCAGTTTTAAACGGAGTGGGCCCATGAGGTATGAGGCCAAATCCTCAGCAGCTGTATATAACTGCTGTCCTGCCAAGGGGTGTTTTATAGCTGCTGGATATAAAACATCGATGGATTCAGCCCATCTCGAACTATACCTCTGCGTGTTGCCTGCAAGGCTCACAGGGCTCTTTATGTGCCTGTAGCTGTGACACTGGCCAAGCACAGCTGCTTTGGGAAGGCATCTTAATGTCAGTTGGTCCTCGTGTTCCTGTAATTCCCAGTACTGATCCCTCTGCCTTCTCTGCTCGAGCTACTCATGCCATGGAAGTCAGTAGCCTCCTTGAGCTGCGATAGGGCCCACAGTTAGCAGCTGAGCATCAGCAGTCAGAGAGGCAGCAATGTAGCTCTGCTGGCTGGGTGGCTCCCAGCTCCGCACCCACTGCTGCGTGCTGCTCCCTCCTGATCTGCCTCCCTGCCTCTGCCCCCACCCCAAAATGGCAGGGGGGGCCTGGCTGGCTCTGAGCCCCACCGGGACCCAAAGCCGAGGCATCCCCCCGGTGTCCTGTTGGAGTCCCTGCAGGGGACACCCTCAGAACCTGTCTTTGGGAACACGGGAGCAGCTGCTGCTGGCGCTCGCCTTTCCCTTTAGGCCTGGACCACTCACCCAGCCACTCAGCACATAGTGGGAAGGTTTTAAATAAGATTTTGGGGTTTCCCCCACACTCCCCCAAACCCCTCGCAGCTTGTGGAGCTGTACAAGGCCAGGCAGCCTTTTCCCACTGACTCCCACTGCTGGACTGGGGCTCTGACTTTGGGCACGTGGCTTCAGTCTCTGGGAGATGAGGTTTGCTGTCCAGCTCAGGGAGCTGCCACAATGCCTGGGAGGATGGTGCTGAGCCCAGCTGCAGCAGCAGGCTCTAAACTCCGCTGCTGAATACAAATACAGGCCTGGTGACAAGGGAATGTGCTGTGCCACTGCCTTTCGTGTTGCAGAGTCGCCGTGTCCTCGTGCTGTGTATGGAAGGGGCTGTCTCAGATGCCAAATTGCTGCTTGGCCAAAGGGGGGGGTCAGGAAAAGAAACATCTGTCCGATGTGCCAGGGGAAGCTGTGCTCACATTTTGCTGCGTTCAGTCTCCACCTACAGCAGTGAGGGTGAGGGATGGCTTTAGCGTTTGCAGCAGCTGTGTCCAGCACTGTTTGTTTGCTTTGTTTTCATCTCCCCTAGATATCACCCAGGCTATGCAGGAGATTGCCAGTGTAAAGCCCAGGCAAAAAGCGCTGACAAAGAAAATTTTCAGGAAAAAGGAGATCATGTCTAAAGACATAACCGACGGGCTCTCGCCTGAAAAAACGTATGAAAGAACTCTGGAAGTTTTTGACCTTGACCAAGATCAGATGGAGTTCAGGCATGAAGGCTCGGTCACATGTGAACCTGGGCAGGAAGGATTAAAACTTGTTGAAAAAGAAATAGTCCCAGAGGATGTACCCGATGGAGCCCAGATAAGTAAAGCCTTTGATAAATTGTGTAACATTGTGAGGGAGAAAATAAGAGTTTACAAGCGACCAGAAGCTAAAACTGATTCCCATCCTAAAGGACGTTACGTGCTGGTAACTGGGGAGGGAGGCTATGAAGAACCTTGCTTCTTGTCCTCCTCCATCCCGGCTGGGGGAGGGATCACGGTTTCCACCAGCAATGGGAAGGTGACAATCAGTGGTGATGTGGAGCCCATACCAGAGCTGCCCGAGCCCACTGAGCCATCAGAAAAGAGGGATGTCTGTGAAAGGAGGGAAGAGTTTGAACCCCAAGATAAACTGAAAGAAGAAGAGAAAGAAGACATGTTTGAATGGGACAAAAGAAGAGGAAAAATTGAGCAAATCACAAAGTATCCAGACATCTCTGAGCCTGAAACAACTCCTTCCCCAGGTCCCATAAGCCCAACAGAGCCAGGAGTCCTTCGAGAGACAGAGTATGACCGCGAAGATAAGCAGGACCTTCTCTTCAGGGAAGCAGGCTTGCCTGGCTCAATGAGCTATGAGAAGGTGGAGGTGGTGGAGTCCATCGAGAAGTTTTCCGATGACAGAATTCAGACGTATGAAGAGACAGCAATGATCGTGGAGACGATGATAGAGAAGACAAGCAAGAAGAAACCGGGTGACAAAGGCTCTTAAGTGACACGCACCCTCGGTAGTCAACTTGTCTGGCGTAGTTCTTAAATGATGTATTCTTTTTTCCTGACCGAATGATACAGTAGTGAGAGTTTTGCTGTTTGGTATGGACTAGATTGAGACTTTGATGGCAATCCTGTCTGATGTAGGCTCACCTTTGGTGTAACAACTGTGAGAACGCTCCAGGACGAGGAGCAGTAGGCACATTCTGTGCGACTTATTTTCATGATTAGGACAAGTTGAAATTAATTACCATTATTGAGTTGCCTGGCTTTCCAAAGTATCCAGGGCAGGTTGCCAGTGCATATTCCCCTACTGCTTCTCTAGCTGCCATACGATTCCTCCTCTCTCAGACAGCTGCAAATGTTAACTTGTGACATCTGGTTCCTTTAATAAAAGCTTTGCCTTCTACAGAAATACCCATTGCGGGTGTGTGTTGCCTTTACCGTTGCACGCTAGGCTCTGCTATTAAAAGTTACCTGACTGGGTATGCAGGAATCTTTCCAAAGGAGGAGCTGAAAACCTGACTTTTGTAACCTATTCCACACCTCTCTCATTTACAGTCTTTAACTAGAGGTGAGCTTGGCAGAATGCTCTTTTTGGGTATGAAGAGAAACTCTCCGTGTTTGAAATAAGCTCTTACTGCACATCTTCTCAGAATAAAATTTGAAGTTCCACCAAAGTAAAGCAAGGAAAACCCTTATAAAATATACTAAAAGCATAATTTTTCTTTCACCAGCACAATTAAGGTATTTAAGATTGGCAAGCAGCTTTTAAGCAGACTGCAGACAATTTAAAAGACTGCATTTTGGTATTTTCTCATTAGGCATTTCCTTGGACTGTAGCATTTTGCAGTTTAACTCTGCTATGTGAGCCTGTTGCATCCTAGTCACCTGCAGCACCACAGGGAACAACGAGTGGTGCCTTCCCATGTCGCCATTCCTGGAGAAGCACAAAGCAGTACTTCTGTAACATCCTCCAGAGATCCTTGACTCAGGAAGAGGAAAAAGAAGTCCCTGCAGATGTGTTCATGTAGAGCATGATTTAAAGCTCTGCTGCAGTAAATCATTTAGGCCTCAGCTTGACTTTAGGCTTAACAAAACCAACAAACCATTAAAGTAAAGTACCCATTGAAATGCTTTACTGGGTTGGCTCTGCACTTTTCCTTCTCCCGTCCCAGCAGAGTTTTTAAAGTTTTATTTTCGAGCGCACTGCATTGTTAGGGCTTTCCTTTCTATCTCATTATGCCTGTCAGCTGGGGAAGAAAGAGCTGGCTAGCCTGAGCTCGTGACTTCTTGACTGTCTTCTCACAGCCAGTGAGACTTTCCTTCAATATTGTTATTTTCTCCTTAGTAACTTCCAGTGCAGGTTTAGTATCGCATCTGTTGTGGCTGTTCTGTCTGGTGAAATGGCACCTTATTCTTGAAACCAGGGACAGGTGATCCCAGACAGTCACTTTTTTTAAGTCAGGATTATTTTTGGATGCTGTTTTATTGAAAAGCTGTGGGAATAGATGCCAGACATTTCTTGCTACAGGTTTTGGTGATCTTGAGTTTCTTAGCACTGTAAATAACTGCATAGAAGGGATTTATCAAAGCATGCGCAGGCTGCACTCTGGTGAGCTGGGAGCAGCTGCTCAGCGTTACTCCTGCTGGAAGCAGGTTGTGACTACTGCAAGTACAAAGAAGTCTGCAGCAACAGGAAGCCTGGTTAATAATTCCGGAACAAAACAGGATGCAAACAGATTCGTGCGGCATGTAGCCAGAACTGGGTAATCCCCAGCCATCTTAATCTCACTGCAGTACAGAGAACTTAATGTTCAGAATATAAAAAATCCCTTAGTGGATGGAAAGGAAGCAATATTTCAGGAGAGCCTGAGTTAGGTACCACAGGTGTGACTATCCCCTGCCACTTCCAGCTGTTCCGTGCTGGCACACAGAGGTTTTTCTGATGCTCATAAGCCCTGGTCAGTGGCTGCTCAGTGTAAAGGGGCTCCTGCGGTGCAGGAGCTGGGCAGCACGTGGTGGTCCTGCACCAGCAACGCGGAGCTGCAGGACTCAAACCGAGCTGGTGCTGAGTGCGCCGCTGACAGCAGCCTCAGGGGAAATCAAGGACCAAGAAGCTCTACGGCCTAAATGCTGATCAGATCGCTGGCCTGCCACATGCACGCACAGCAGTGGCCCAGTAGGGCAGCAGGTGGTGGGCAGATCCTCATTGTGAAATACAGATGACAAGGATATAGAAAAGCACCAGTACACATTGTTGGCAGTGACAGTGCTGTTAAATCTCCTGATAGGTGGATTAACCGCTGCTTTAAATGCAGATTCTCAAATACTAAAATGCTGAAGTGTAATGATGAAATACTTCTGAGCATCTGTTCAGTAAAGCCTGGGCTGAGGCACAGGTTAACACAGCCACGTTCCTGCCTCAGTGATAACAGCTAGAAAAGGAGCCTCCCGGCCATCTTTTACTACTGCAGAAATAGTAAGAAATTATATTTCAAAAGCACACACACCCTGTACTATGGGATTATGTGTGTTTAAAAAGTATCCAAAAGTGTGAGTGGGAAGTAGGGAGGTAGAGGGAAACCAGTTTTTTTGTATGTCTCAAAGTGCTCCATACAGCAGAGAAAAGCACTGCTGTGGCAGATCCTGTTGTTTCTTCAGGGCCTGAACTGCCATTGCTTATGAAACACGGTTCAAAAAATGTCACTGTCTGTCCTGAGCATCCATCCCCTTCCCCAGTGAGAGCAGCAGTCCGGCAGCCGCACAGCCTCGCACACTTGCAGAGCTTTCCCTGGAGCCTGGATGAACCATGTAAGTAATGCCCAAGGCTCCTCCTAGCCTGCACCCATAATCTCCTGCATCCCACCACGTCACAGAGCTAACGTAAAGCCTGTTACCATTCACGTACTGCTATCAGCTGGTTCGTAGGATCGTGTTTGTTTTCTTAGTCTCCAACATGGGACACAAATTTCCTTATCAGTATGAAAAGTATAAAAAGCAGAGGGCTAGGAAGGCATCCCGCCTGTATCAGCTTACCTCCCATGTACCTATGGGTAAGCAATGATGATAGGGCCTGCCAGTTTACAACAGCTCTTTATTTTACTCAGATTATAAAACATCATCACAGGGTGTTAGTTAAACAATATTCACCTGTTTCAAACCATGAGCTTCATTTTCCCCTTTATTATAAATACTAACAAATAAACTTTATTTTCCATCAGCAATATCATAAAAACTTTGTCTAACTGGACATATTTTTTCAGCAATCCCCTGATGCAAAAATTCTGAAGAATTTGAAGTAGATCTCTATATTGTATATACACTTAACTTTATATATACTTATATCAAAACTCACCATTTCTATTTATCATTGTTGTGATCTTTCGCTTAATATAATAAGTCAACATTATGAAAATATGAACAACCATCTAGTTATTTTGTTGCTGTATAAGATATTTAATGATGAAACAGCCTTGCAAAATCACATGAATGCAATGGAAAGGAATGTACACATTCATTTAAGATTTCCACATGGACATTTCTGATTCCAAAACTTTTTCCACATTTTAGAAGTCCTTCAGTAGCTTCCAGTTCTCTCTGTTTCTTTGAACACATACACAAAAAGTAAGTGTGTGTATGTGTTATACATTACATACCATATGTAATTCTGTAGATATTTGTAAGCAAATATATGTAACATACTGTGAATATACATATTGTATGTAATATGGGGAGAGAGAGAGAGAGAGATACCACTGGGGTGTTCTATGCATTTAGATATACGGGAGTGTGCATAAATAAATATATATGGTAAATTCTTCCCTCTGATCTGTACATGGTGCTCTTTCTGAGAATTCTGTGCCTTCCCTGAAAACCTGTTGAAGTCAGCGCAGTCCCTTTGGTTCCAAACAGCCACCAACAAACCTGTCCCCTCATTTAACTTCACAGAGTTTAGGGTTATGCCTCATGAGCTCCAGTTCATGGTTTGAAGTAGGCCTGTCTTGTCCTTCGGGTAATTTCTAAATCACCACGTTGAACATAGTTGGCACTATAATGTGTTTGAACAAATAACTAAGAGCATTTTTAAAATAAAATCACGCAGTGCCTGATTCATCTCCTGCTGAAATACCATTTATCCAAATGTGACTCCGTTGTCTTAATGGACTGCTGCATGTAACAAAGAACCTGTGAAAGGTGTGAGGCTGCTTGTCTTGGGTTTACAATGTAATTCACATAGACTTCAAGTAGGTTGAGCTGTTTATTTGCATTTGGATTTGTGAAGGAAAGAACAGGCCTTGTGAAAGGATAAAAGATGGATATTCACTTGAAATAACAGAATAAATTATACATTCTTCAATTAAATGTATGCACCATATAACCTTTGGGTTGCATTTTTGATTTGTTAGATAAATATTTACTTACTGAATACGTTTCTACCACAATGCACCTGATTACCCAGGAAAACTCTTATTAAAACACTTTAGATGAATACTCTGTATATTAAAAATACATAATAAAACTCTGAAACCAGTCACTGCTAAAAAGTAGATCTTGGATCCTCAAACATCTTAAGCACCTGCTTAAAATTAGTATTTGAGTAGGTTCACGGATTTTACTGTGAGTGCCTAAGCATTTGCAAAATCAAGACCCTTTATTATTCAAACGTTCAAATTGGGATCTCACACCTGAGAACATGTAGTGGTTGTTAGCATGAGGAATCCCCCTTGAGGGAACGTTATGTCTTGTGGCAATAGCCAGAGCAGACTCCATGGGCAGGAGAGACTGAATTTACTCACATATGAGAAGTGAAGATGGGACTGACTCTTTAAATGCCAAAGAGCAATGATTACTGACAAATCTTCCCAAACATACTACATTTTATTTCCCAAGAAGGCCAACTCTGCATTACATGTAAATAATGTAGGCATATTTTTCTCCTTAAATATATTTGTATAACACAAAAATAACTTTTTTCTTTTTTTTTTTCTTTTTAATGAAATCTGAATAAAAAATTGCTCTGGGACTGAAGCTGCATACTTCAAATTTTCCCACAGCAATTTACTGACAGCCAGGTTTGCAAACCCCAGAAAACAGGGGTCTGTGCTTTCCCTATGTGCTTATGCTGCTGTAAGATGGTATATTGATTTAACTTGCCAACTTTATAAACAAAAGCCAAAAGTAAACTAAACAAAAAAGAAACAAAAAAAGCTCTTGAAATTTGTGCTTCTAGAATGCCCTGACCCTGTTTGCAATGCACTTCTTGTCACCTGGCTTTAGCATCACCTGGCCTTCCTTATTGCATGCTTGTTGAACCATTCTGCAGCTGAAGTGCTAGTGTGTATGTCGTGTAAGTGTATATACTAAAGAATGCTCTGAGAAGAATTAGGTTCTGCAAATTGGATGGGTAATTTTTCTACATCTGTGGATTATTTCTTTTTATAGGGTCTAGTGCTACTTTGGTTGAACCCAGGGGGAAAGTCCCACTGAAGTCCATGATGCAAAAGGAGCTGTTAGACATTCAAAGACCTCTCCAGCCAACCAAACTCTTTGTGATTCCCTCTCTCACAATATATTTTTTAAATGCACCCATTATCACCAACTGCCAATGTTAAAATTCACTCTTTCTTTTTTTTTTTTTTAATACAAACAACATGTATCACAAAAATATGAAGGGAAAAGCCATAAACATGTTTGCAGGTATTACCTATTTGTATGACACAGAAGAAAAATCATTTACAGTCACAAACTGTACATAGTATTTGGTGGGGGACAATATATTCGTGGTTTAGAGTAAAAAAATGATTGCTTCAGTGGTAATTAAAATAATTATTGACAAGATATAAGACTTTAAAATCAAGAAAGTGTGATAATTTGGCTACAGAGACGATCATTGTAATATGTCTAACACAGAGGTTTGGATAGTAGAAAGGTGAATAGAGGGATCTGGGAAAGGAAAGACACCATCATGCAGAACAGACTAGTTCTTGCTCAGTATACTCTTCAGGCTTCTCTCCACTGCTTCGTCTAATTCTTCTTCCAGCTCTTCCTTCTTGGACATGGCCAGTTTGGACTGATAATCTTTTACTATTTGGTCTATATAGGGTGCGCTCTGGGTCCCATGCAGCATCAGTGTCCACTCCTTCAGCACGCCCCGCTGTGGCACACCGCCGACAAACCCAATCTCTAGGACCCAGGTGCCTCGGGGGTCTTCTCCCCAAGTGTGTGTGGTCATGAAAGGCCATTTGTCAAAACCCACCTTGGAGTCGTCATCCCTGGGACGCCGGCTCAGTAGAATAGATTTTGTTCCCATCGGCGAGGTCATGTTGATGTTGAGGTCTCCTCGCCTAGTTGAATTCACAGTTATTACTGCTTGGACGTGTTCAAGGTAACGGACAAAATTTTCCTTCCCCTCACAAGCATCAGTTGTAAGTGTGAGGAGCAGCTTGCCACTTGGTGGTATCTTTCTGCAGGTCAAAAGATAATGAAGCAAATGAAAAGGATATATGCAGCATGGCATGACTTATTCTAAAACCACTGTTCTGGTGCCTCACAGAAAAACCTGTACTAGCTTCCTTATTAATACATGGAAAGGTAAGGAAATAATAGCTGCAAACTTAGCCAGAAAGAAAATACTCTCATTTTAGAAAATGGTATTAAAACTGTAATTTGGAAATACATTATGAAATGTACACCTACACAGTGAGAGAAGGAATACAATTAAGAAGCATATGCTGCTATTTGAGAAATGCTAACATATATTTAATAGCTGCCTCTACCAATCACTGCTATATTGGGTAATTGCACAATTACGTCTATGGCCGATTAATGAGCCGCGGGTGGTTGTGTCAGTCACCTTAAAAGACAGCAGCAAATGACTCTGGAGTCACAAGAGCCAGCTGCATGGATTTTCAGTGCAGTCATATTCAAGTCTGGATCCTTTCTCTGATTTGGAAACTGACTCTAAGGTTGGATCCTACTTCCAGCTCATTTGGAAAATATTTTTTTCCATGAAGATTGCTGTCCTTAAACTGCTCCCATACAGGAACACACAGGAGAAAAGGTTGCGCTTGTTCCCTGAGCTCCCAGAGTGCTAAACCTTGAGTCACAAATCTCCTGGTTGTAATAAGTCAGCCCTGAGGAAGGTGAACTCAGTGAAGTACCATTGTCCATGTGAGGGTGGACAGAAGAATTGTACCAAGAAGCATACCAGATCCCCAGATGGCACATAGGCTCAGTCCTGCAACGTTTATTGTGCAAGGACTCTGTCACCCAGCAGAAGGCAGACCCCTGACATCAACACACCGAGCTCCTTTGCTGGCGAGCTGCAGGCACGGAGGATACACGGCCTGGCAGCTCCCTTGCAAAGAGCATCAGGCTGCCTCCTGCCCGCTCTGTGGAGTCGCAGCTGGGAATGAATGAACGGTCTCAGCAGCAGCTGTCAGCAGGGTGAGTGCCATACTTGAAAGGACCATCATTACCCCGGCCTGTGCTCAGGGCTCCCCACCTGCTGGGCAGACAGCAGCATCGCCCCAGCACGCCTCCAGCGCTGCCAGAAGAGGCGAGAGCGTGCTGGGGGAGAGCACATTGCTCCGATGCCTTCCCAGCTCTTGCAGCTGAGATCTGGGCAGTCCTTCTCAGGGCCCTGCACAGCCCTGAGGATGCTGGTGCCTGGCCCACGTACTTCAATTACTCCAGTGACATTTTACTACCACTCCTGATGCTCATGGCGTCTCTGTGCAAAACCTAGGTTTTGCAGTAAAATGAGGAAGAGTGTCCCTTTCTAAAAGGGTGTCCCCTTTTAAGGTACACCGGCCAGACTGTGTTAATGGAACGCCTTCTTTTCAAAAGAAATTTGAGTATAAATCAAACCTTTCCCTTTGCTACTGAAATAGTGAAGTCTTAAGAGAGCAGTGAGTGTTTCATTCAAGCCTAATTTCCAGGAATTCTGTTCTTCCTGAGGGGAGCTCCGGGTATTGCTCAGTGCATTGCTAATTAGCTCAGGCCTGTCTCAGCTTTGCTTTCATAGGATATAGGCTTCTTGGGAATACTTGCAGCATAAAAAGACATTCACACCCAGATCTTCAAGGCATGTAAACACTTACCTTACACTGAAAAGAAACAAAAGGTGTTGTTCTGAATTTAAGGATGCCCTGTTGCAGAAGCTGGTTTAACGTAAATATTGTATAGCTAAAGTATTTGAACACATCAGTACAATACCCTCAAGATACATTTTGTGTCCTGCAGCACAAGAATATTGCACTACATGCCAGCCAGAGGTGAAGGATGTAATCTCACAGTTGCCATATGCTTGAAATTTCTCTGCATGGGAAGCAGCATCCTCAAAACAATCTGAGTTGGCATCAGTCTCACAGCTATCTCACACAAGGGACAGCAGCGTTGTTAAACAATGCTTCATTCTGAGAATTGTGATAAGTGCTTTGTATCTCCTGCAGTGAATGAAAGAGGACCCCACGGCGCGAGTCTTTTCTATCTATCAACAACAAAATATCAAACAAATAGGAGAACGTGCAGTGTTACCACTCCATCTGCTTTGCAGACAGCCCAACAGCTTCTCTCCATCTTTATGAGGGCTGCAGTGCAAAGTTAGCTCACTGAAACACATGAGAAAAGGCTTGCTCCTTTTGCCCCTTTCCTATTAACTAGAATACAGTGCTCTCTGCTTCACTGCAATAATTACTCTAGGCCAGGTGAATTTCCCAAAAGAAACTAAAAGAACAAGGGGGTGGGGGAGCGAGCCACAAAAGGAGCAGAAGATGGGTTTTCCACCCTTGGGTACCGCTGCCCAGTTGTGCCGTGTGTGTTTGCCTTCACATGGAGCATAGGACCCAGCTTCAGAGATAAGCAGGGGGAGCTAACTGCCTCCCAGAAGCTCGCTCCTGTGCCTCTGTTCCACAGCTAATGAGCTATCACTGATTTAATCATCTTTGTATTTCACTGGGCCAGCCACAATCATAAGGTTTGTCCTTTTTTTTTTTTTTTTTTCTTTTTGCCGACCCAACAAAAATCCCTTCTCAGGGAAAGCTCCCGTTGCTAACAAGTGATTCTGCAGGCAGCAGAGACATACTGCACTTTCAGTACTGATTCCTCCAGCACTCTGCATGTTCCAGGCTGTAGGTAATTTCCTGCCCTGCTTCTGCCAATCAACAGTGCTGCTGTGGCACACACCTCTCTGCCACTATTCACCTACCCAAGTATATAGGGAAAATATACATTTATATATACAAATATATTTAGCTATATAAATACATACAGAATACATATAGCAAATGTTGCTGCCGCAAGACCAAACTGAAAAAATAAATCAATTGTTTATGGCAAAAATGGAGTTTTTATTTCCAGAAAATCTCTGGAGATACTAAAACTTCAACAGTTTTATTTACAGTGCAGTTCAAAAGATGTAAATTTGCAAATCATGTTCATTATCTGCTGTCATTTGCTTGGGCGGACATAAATACTATAGCAGCACCATTATTGTATAGATGTATCACATATAGGGGCTCACCTATACCAAGTGCACACTTAAGCCTTTACTGCAGTATCATTAGGAGGTTTCAGCAGGGACTGACTTGGTTGGAATAACTTCACTGCTGTTGTATGCTTTTAAAATCTCATCCTTACCTATGTCTGTGCTCTTCTAGGCGCTGCTCTCAAAAGACACCAATACAAGCCAGTGTACTGCTCAACTCGAGTTTTTGGGGCAGCCACAGCTCTAGGGGAGCCTTACCGCAGCGCCAGGTATTTGGGACAGAGGAAATGCTCTGCCATCACCCAGGGAAAGCAGCTCTTCGGAACATGCCACGACCTTTTCTATCCAGTACTCCAATCGACAGTGGAAATGGGACAGAAAAGCGAAGGCAGACTGAGTACAGTACTGCTTACTGCCCAGCTCTGGTTCCGTCTGTTCCCAGCAAGCCTCAACCACACTGCCTAATGCATGCAGTCAAACCTTCATTATGAAATTCTCCCTCTAGCGTGATCTCCATTTCTAAAAATGGGGCCACACTGAGATAAATGAAATGCCTTGTCTTCACAAACACCATCAGTCAGCACTTAAATTAGGAATAAACTAGAGAGAGCTCAAATTTAGCTTCAGCACCCTCTCATTTGTCTCCTACCTGTAAGCACATGTAGGCCATGTCAATTAAAACTCAGATTTCACCTGGAGAACCTTGGATCCTGCAAATACAAACCCATCTGGGGGTTGGGAGTGAACTTAAGTCTTTTCCTGGCTGAGCTATCTACTAGGGCAGCATTTAGATTTGATTTCTTCTTCCAATAGAATAATGATGCTTTCAAAAATGGCACTGGAACGTCAAATTTCAAATGTTAAAGACATAAATTGGCCACTAATAGGTTAGTATTTCAAACAATTAAATTGAACTATAGCTGTTGTAGTTAATTAGTATTAATTCATTCACTTGTTGACTCATTCACTTTAGCACACAAAGGTAATCAGAAAATAATTTGACTACCTAGCCTGCATTAATGATTTGAAGAACATAAACCAAACACAGTTAAATGAGGTAATGTTGAAACTGAATCACCGCTACCTGTAGATGACTGTTTCAGTCTTCTGGAGATAAAACTGTCTACTGGAATAGGTCACAAGGAGATATGACCTGGCTGACGGATATTTCATGTGGCAGCAGTTTATGTAATTTACGGTGCCAGCTTCTCGGGTTTTCCCTCATGCACAGGCTGTTTATTGACACAAACTGTGGCACAAACACACCTGTAAGTACCTAGGAGAAATGGATGCTGCTATTAGCACTACTGGCACTCGCAGTGACGCTACAGATCAGCTGTCCTATGCGCCCAGTTTTCCTCCAGCAAGCCAGGAATTGAAAGATCATGTCATTCATTTTATCAGCTTACTGAAATATCTGCAATGCTACTTATAATGTTAAGTTTTCTTAGAATAAAGTGTTCATTATGTTTCTCTGATTATCTTGTTCTTTGTCAAGATATTTGCCTGCCTGCAGTCTCTCCGGTGCTGGCAAGAGACGAACCACAAACACTAGACTATGCACTTACTCAGGCTCCTGTATTGACCCCCCAACACAGTGGAATCGCTCGGGAACGGTCTTCCAGTCTTTTGCCATCTTAACCATCGCTCCTGCATCTAGGACACCATAGCCAAACAAGTGGTTGAATTCCAGCCCAACGCCATTTCTGCGCCACTGATGAACTTCATCGTGAAGCTGGTTCCTTTTGGAGGTGAGGACTGTCAGATGCTGCATGTCTCTCCATGTCAGATCCAAGCTGTGGAAGAGTAGCATGTCAACAGTACAGTACCCACAGATATTAAAGAAACGCAGTGTGTTGGAGTAGGCCCTTTGGTAAAAATTGCTTCTGTGAGTCACACATAAATTGTTTCTACATACATATCAATAACAAGCTTCTGATGATTTCAGTGGGAAGAAGAATAGGTTTTAATTGTGTAGCACTTCCCCAAAATTACAAAGTCATTTCTGACAGCAACTGCTTTCAACTACATGTTAAATATCTATCGTGCAATTTTTAAGCTAATAAAATGGGAGGGATATTATAGGAGACGATGAAAATAATACAAAAAGAAAAGGATGATGACACAGTTTAGTCTAACCTTCCTCTTAGATCTTGCCCTCTTTTCCTTGCCTGCTCCTCCTGCTTTCCCCATGGACCTTCCAAGGGTCACCCAGAGAAGCTCTGATCAGATAAAGATGGTGAGCTATAACAACGAAGTCTTGCTAATTTCAGCAGACTGTGAATATGGGTTATGGGCTGTGGGGGGCTGTGGGTTTGCACTGTGAGGTATGATGGAGGTTTGTCACCAGTGATATACTAGCACGGATGGAGGCGGTTACGTTTGTCTAGATTCCATGATCATCCTTCATCATCAGCTCTTGTCTTCCTAGATTTGCAGTGATTATGATGACAGGAAGGGCACTTGCAAGCTGGAATTAATACTAATTAACTGGAAGCTTTAGCACTGACATTGTAATTCTACATAACTAAAGCTATTCCAGTTGTTTTATGATGAACTCTTTCAACATTACAATGTGTCTGATTCAAACCATCAGCCCCAAAGGATCAGTTTTTCAGCTTTCTGTGCACCAAGTAATAAGCATGTGCGCATGCTGAACATACACCAGAATAGCCAATTCCTTTAATTTCTTTGAGGTGACACAAGGTAGCTGAAAACCAGAGATCACTTGCATCATTCTTAGTGAAACCCTTTAAGAGTTGCTCTGTGTCTTAAAACTGTACTTTCCACTTCACAGATGAGCTAGTTTTTAGAGACAGTCAGATATATATGAGCTGGGAAACACTGCAGGCAAGAGGGAAATAGTTAGCCACCCCTGCCAAGGGCACTGCAACTCATCCAGGGAAACCCTGCACAGCACAGCAGAGGAGCAATAGAGTCAGGCTGGAAGGAGAGAGGAGACACTGACAGTTCTTTGTCTTTTTCTTTTCTGTCTTCTCAGCAAAGGCTAGAGAACCAATTTCAGACTAAAAGTTAGACTAATTTTTACTTGTGATTTCTGCTTGTTTGGCAAGATTTATTAAGGTCTTCATGGACAGCCCAAAAGAAGAGGAGTGATAGCACTGAGATAACAGGGTAGTAGTTCAGGTTAAACACGCAGTGGTCGGAAAATTCATTAAGTCTTCATATTTTTATGACCATGTTAATTTATTACCCTGTGGCTGTCCCACTAAATAGATTTGATAGTAGAAGGATAGATCATCCGAAGTTGAACACCTGGCATGTTTGCTTGATGTGCATAAAACCTGAAAAATGAGACTTGGTCCAAGTCACGTTCTGAGCACAATTGCTCTGCTAACGGTATAAACCTTGTCTCCTCTGCTAAATCTTCATTCTTCTACATTCAGCTGAAGAAACCTATGTACACAGTGTTCAGTTTGTGCCAAGATTACAGCAACTGAAGCTGTATAGCTGAGCAAATGTTTTCTCACTTCATAAAACGGCTTAACACAAAGTAAAAAGCTGGTGTAGGTTATTTTAAGAAAACCTTTTCCTCATCATTAAAAAAGATGATGAACAAGAGGTCTCCAATGTCGTGAATAGCATGGAGAAGGTAAACGGACAATGGACATTTATTCACTCACATAACGCAGCAATTATGTAGCACAAAAGCAAATTGCCAGCGATGGGGTGAGAATCAACAAAGGAAGCATTCCTCACTGCTGCCAAAAAATATTATTACTGTGGAATTGATTGCCACTGGATGATACAGGTGCCAAATACACAGACAATATGAAAAAGAATTGGACAAATTCAAGAAGGATAAATCTGCTCGAGGCTGTTAAAACGGGATAGGCTGACTGCTCCCTTTCCAAACAACTGATTGCCAAAACTGCTTGGTGAAAGATCACTCTTAATCCCCGTTTGGTATTGTCGCCCCTCAGCATCTGTCATTGCAGGCAGCACGAGGAACACAATGAACTCCCACAGATACGTTCGTACATTTTTGTAAGCTGGGCATTCCCCACTGGGCATGTGGAGAAACACAACCCGTCCCTCAGACAGGGAGAAGACAAACCCCTGGAAGCTGTGGATGTAGAGGATGGGCAGAGGGAAGTCAGCCAGAACACAGACGCCTGGTGTAAGGCTCTGGCAGGGCTGTAGCTCCATCTGTAAGTTACCAGCCGTGTCTCTGCTGTTTCAGGCAGCTTGTCAGCTGCTTGTTCTACCGGCTGTGCCACAGCCAGCTTACACGATGAACAACGTTAAACAAACCCTGGGCCCCCTCCTCTCTAGAGCTCACAAGGAATTTCTTAACAGCATACTTAGCCTCCAGGGCCAAGGCGAACACTCCGGCTGCTTCAGGGGCAGCTGCAGACGTTCCTGAGTGACGCAGGGTGCAGTTGCCATACAAGTCTGTGGTAGCCTGCAATGATATTAGACTTAATTAATGAAACCAGCTAGGCCATTGTCCTTGCAGCTACAGACCCAGAAAAACACAGAAAGTGGAGTTTGTGTCCTTGTCCTTCAGATGAATTGTGTATTTGTTCCCAGGATCTGTTTTCTTCTTTAGACTTGTGTATAAATTTGAAAACACGGTGAGAGACAGTTACAGAAGGTGGGAATGCAAGAATAAATTACGATGTAGGAAAACAATGTTCATTGTCGCTTAGGACTCATAAACTTATATGGATATCATTAAATTCCTATAAACATGGTTTAACCAAAGCCCTTACATTTCCCCGTGGTTATCATGCAAGTTGGAAACTAGAATTGTTAACAGCACTGAGATGGCTAACATTAGTGCAAGTCCAAAGCCAGGACCAGTAACAGGTTGCTACCTTCTGTGCAGATTAGTCACTACGAGAGACCTGAGGGAAACCTTACAAGTGAATTTTCTGGTGATTAAATTAAAAAGGTGCCACAGATCGTTCCATCTGACCCCAGCACAGTGCTGATACCACGACAGAAAACAGTATTTTTTCTTCTGCTGCTGCACATGGGCCTTTAGGATGCTGCAGTGGACAAAGTCTCTGGGGTTTGAGACAGGCCACGCAAAATGTATAGCTGCCTTTGGCAAGGGCTGACCTTGAGTTACCACCCTTCCATTTGTCACTCTGAATTGGACTATGTCCTTGCTAGTGTGGAGGTGCTGAAGAGCAGTGATCAGTACAGTGGAAGAGAATCTCAGTTACACTCAAACACTGCCTGTTTTCCAGTAGTAACTACGGCCCCTAAGAGGACTTGAGCATGATTCTCCACGCTGCTCTCCCTGTGAGAGTGTACCTCTGAGGGTGATCTGAACCTCCACGTTTCCTCTGTAGGTGACTGAGTGTCTGTCTGCTCTGTGCAGCTTCCAGTGCAGCAGAAGTCTGGTTCGTGACTGCTCTGCCAGCACAATTAAGGATGATTTCAGATGTCAATGCTTTTCATTTAGATTTTTACAGAGACCCTTTATCACACTGTCTTCTGGAAAGAGGGCAATTGAACTTTTAAATCAGGTTTCTGATAAAGCACCAACAATATGAAGCTCTAAGATACGGAAGATCATTGCTGTCCTCAATGTTAATCCCACATCTCCTCAGCTGACAGTCCTGGCATGATCACGTACTGCAGATGAGAAAATATCCATCTCAACAAAGGACCATCTGCTGCTCCAAAGCCGACAGGGTTGTAATGGGTCGTGGGAGTGCAAAAAGACAGCAGCGACAGGACAATAATATCTGGACTCACCACACCAGCCTCCGGATTTCTCTTCCTCCCATTACTAAAGGTGGAGGCTAGGGTTGAAGAGCAGCTTTCATCATACAGAGCTGTCCGTCCGTCATTTATAGCGGAATTGATGGAGATTGTCCACATGCTTGATGCATAACCATCACAGTTACAGTCATCGTAGCTGCCCCCATCTCCAGAAGCCCAGACATAGATGCTTCCTTTCCCACCCCGGCCCTGTGAAAAGGGAAAATTGACACTTTTAGGTTAAATTGCAAATAGGAAACAGCACCCACTTTGAACAGCACATTTAATTGTGACGCTAGGCATCTCTAAAGGAGAAAACTGGTCCAAATAAAATATACATCAAGCTTAAGCTGAAATAAAATGGACTTCTACAGGTTATTAAATCTAGTTAACTGGCAGCCACAGCCAACTGTGCAACTTCATGCACACAGAGCGTTTCCATTTATCTCCTGTTTTTCTTGATGCCCTGAAGGCTTCTGTGCCAAATGCTAAGACATTTTATGGATTCATTAGCACTTATGTCAAGGCCTAAGTGCTATGAGGAAGGTGTTCTTTTAAAAGGGATATAGGTCATCTCAGGCACTAGGTTTGTAAAATCCAATTAGGTTTGGGCAATGGCTAAAAAACCCTGCAAAACTGGCACCTTTTCCTCTCAATAGATTTTTCTCCATAGGTATCACTGACTCAGAGCTGTTTTTCTGGCAAACCAGCTTCTACCACTGAGTAGAAAATAAAGTTATGAGATCGTATGAATCATCTAGAGAAAGACAGCCTACTGAAAACACTGCAAAGTCCAGGGATGGATGGGAGAGACCGAAGCTGAAGGGCAGCTATAAAATCTCTGTTGGTTAAAGGAAAGGCATTTGTGTCCTCTTCCTTACCTTCAGATAAAGAAGTGGGAAGGGATCAACCAAGCTCCTTCTCATCCCATACTAAGACAGAGGTAGAGGCTGCCTGGAAGAGTGCAGGACCTGAGAAGCCCAATACTTGGGAAAAGATCAGTGCCACTGAAAGCAAGGCTCGGGGCCCCCACCAATTCCAGCACAGCCACAGTTTTTCTCCCTGTGTTTTGACTAATGTAATCCAATGTTTACTTCCAACAGCATCACAAGGGTGCAAGGCCTCAATTTAACACTCTGTTTACACGTTGGGCAGAAAATGAGAAAAAATATCTTCTGGCCTCTTCGTTGTCCAGCAAGAGATGGAAATTAAGGAATACACAAACATAGCAACTTGCAAGGGTATTTTAATAGGGAACCTTTTCTGCAAGGAATTTAAATCAAATCTGAGCTCCCAGCAGTAGCCTCTATTTTTCATCATACCCCACTGAACAGAGCAACCTCATTATTTCAAGCATGTTAGTGAATCGCATTATAATCCATTGAATTGCACAGCAGGTTTGCTGCCACTGGGGTACATAACATCTCAGGACAGAGATTTTCATAATAAAGATGATAACTATGAAAAAGCCTTCTGAAATCAGCCTGAGAACTCCCACAAAGATCTGAGATCAATCATTTGTGTTCTAAGGCAAGAGGACAGTGTTGCAAAAATACATAAAAACAAAGCAATTCCAGCAAATTATAAAAAAAAAGCAAAACAAACAAACAAAACACCCTGCATAACGAAAACAGTTATGCCTTTTTCCCCCTTTTTATATATCCCATCTCACGCTCTGACTGCTGTTATCTTACAGGGCCCAAATGTGGTCTCTGGACTTGCTTCCCAGGCTACATCACAAGCTTGCCGTCACAGCCCCCATCACAGCACCTTGCCACCATCTGTGTCTTTTGGACAGCCTCAGGGGCAGCTGGAGCACATTTCCGTCTGTCCCCAAAAGGCAGGCTGCTGCCCAGCACAGAAAGCAGGTGGCTGCAAGTGCCAGGAACAGGACATTTGGCATGTTGTGGACCCGTTCTTTAACAACTCTTTCTTTCCAGGGAAGAAGGGAGATGAAACACGCCACTTTCATGCCATAAATTCACAGAAATAGTTTGGTGCCTGGCAGTTAGCCTCTGCCACATTCAGCATAGGAAAGCAGACCTGGCCCTGCCTGGCATATTGCCCCATGCTGCCAAAAGTGCCAAAGCATTACCCCCCAGGGCTGGGGTTGATGGAAGAAAACAGGCAAAACAGATGTTGGAGGGGTCAGGTGGAATCCAGAGAGAAACTGAAATTTAGGCTTGAGTGGGGGGCAGGTTTTATGCATGCAATTAGTGTCATGGGAGAATGGTCTTGGGATATCATTCTAGAGCCGTCACATCCACGAGCATGGCTTAGTGTTTTTTTGTTGTTGTTGTTTGTTTTGGGTTTTGTTTGTTTTTTCAAAAAAAAAAAAAAAAGAAAGTAATTTACCTCTTAATATTCTAATTTCAATTTCATTTCCCTCTTAGCCAGGAAGGACTGGAAAGAGAAGCAATCAAACGCTACTGGACTAAGCCGATGGCAGCCCATGTGCAATATATATTTGCAATAATGCTTAGGACTTGTTTGCTTACATTTCCCACTGCCAGACCCGCAGGAGTTGGATAGCTTGCACAGGCAAACTGTTTGTTGCCTGTCCTTAAGCATTGTTCCAAGTACAAAGCAGAAATACACGGTTTCAGGGCAAGTGAATTATCAATTCTCTGGATGGTATTTGTCTAAACCAGAAAAATCTCGGTGGGGTCAATTATGTGTCACGTTTAAAGCCAGCTGAAAGCTCCTATTTGTATCTCAACCTTAAATGAACCTCAAAAGTGTCAGTGGTGTCACTCAACTTCAGCTGCTGTACATTTAGACCAAAAACGACTGGAGAAGGTGCCAGTGATGTATGGTAGAAACACCAGAGGGAGTCTGCAGGAAGATTTAGGAAGAAGAGGGGAGGCTGCAAGATAAGATACATTTTAAAGAGAATCGTTCCTCCAGAATCCTGTTAAAACCTGCTCATTTCCCTCCAGATCAATGCAGAGCAGGCAGTCACACTTCTGAGCCATCTGAAGCTGTAATCACGCTCAGAGCTGAAAATGGATCTCACTGCATCGAGGAGCAGCCCAAAAGAGGCCCACACCTCAACTTGTACTAAGCCAGAACTAAATCCCGGGCAAGGCTAAATGCTTGGAAAGTCGCAGACAGTTCTGAGAAGCACTCTCTGCAGAAACAGCAGGCTTTCTATTTCCAGCGCTCTTTGTGGGATACGGTGCTACTGACAAAAAAATATCCCTGTGAAACTTTATTGCCCATTTTCTCATCTTTTGAAGAGCTTAATCCCAGTAAAACATCTTTACTTGATTATCTTGCAAAAGTGAGCTGGCAGGGGACTGCAGGCTAATTCATTTTAACATGAGGTACATCTTGGACTCTTTTTTCCCTTGTTATTGTGTTCATTCATCATGCTTGCTGGGCAAGAGCCTAAACCAGTGTTTCTCAAAGTTTTCATTCCTGGATCACACTTTCCAGATAAATACTGGTGGTATTTGACAAATAGATCTCCTCCAGCTTTCCTGACCTCTCCTGTCAAGGCTACAAGCGCTCATGTGAGTAACAGCTGGGCCTCTAACAGGGCACAGACTCTGCTTTGGCTCCTCTCATTCGCTTCATCCAGAGCCTGGCCTCTGGCGTTGCTGAAACTGGATGGAAGGAACATTGTGGTCTTTATGGCATGTTTCTGATGCAGACCCTTCTCTTTAGCCTGATCATCAGTCACGGATTGGGATCAGCACTAAGTTTCCAAGCAGGACAAGCATGAAAACACGGCACAGAGGCCTGCCACGCATCACGGAGTGCCGTGCAGACAGAACTGCAGCAGGGCCATCCTGCATGAACTGGCTGCTGCTGCTGGTGGCCCTTGGCTGGTCTGCCTCACCCCCGGGTGTTCAGTGAGGAGGGAGGACAGGCTGTTCTGGCAGCTTCTTCCTCCCCTTCTCCCTCTTCGTGGCCACACACTCGGCTGTTACGCAGAGGACGGCTGCTTGGAGCTGTGTTTCAGTCAGGCTTCCTCGTGCTTTCATCTCATGTTTTGTTGACTTCAGTAGCTGGCTGACTGGTTTCTCCTAGCAGACTTCTAAAACTAATTGGGTCAAGTAATAATCACCCAAGTACAAAAGACTGTTGCGTATCAGATTGTCAAAGAACTGGGCCCTGTAATTGCCAAACCCTAACAAAATGCTTTATGTAATTTACTCCAGTCTTTATTAGGTCACAGAAGAGTACTAAACTCCCATCCACCAACCCCCAATTAATTGTGCAAATGTTAATACTTCCTTTGGCTAAAAATAATGCTTGAGCAATTTTCTCTGCCTAAATTACTGTTGAGACTGGATAGACTTCTGTTATCCAAGAGAAACGAATGGAAAAATACAGTTTTGGTGAAGAGAGACAGCAGGGAAATGGGGAGGAAACTTGAAAAATGTTGAGAAAAAAAACTTTTAATAAAAAATAAAATAAATCAGCCTGCTCAAACATTTATTCTTTCCCTTTAAAATTTACTCTCTGACTTAAATTTGATCAGTTTCAGTAAAGCAAGCAAGAAAGCTGTGAAAATAAGCAAAATACTTCGAGCGAAATGCTCTGGCTTGGCCTAAACTAGACATGCCTTTTTGTTGGATCCTGGGCTGTGTACCACAAGTGATAATGCATAGATCTTGTCCAGCAGTTCTGCAGGCATAATTCTGGTGCTGCTAACATAGGTAAAAAACAATCCCATCCTCTCTTCAGTAGTTCTGAGCTAGACTTTCAGTAGGAAAAAGATTTTAAACATACAATTTACTTTCCACCAGCAGCAGTGCTGGTCTCTCTGCGCAGACTTCCCAGTGTTTGTGATGCTTCCTGGCCTCACCGTTTCACCTGTGGTTCTTGCAGTGCTGTGCAAAGGTTCCCAGCCTTGCTGAAAGGCAAAGGCACATGGCTGCTGAGCTGTGGCACACAGATTAGGCAGAAAACATTCCTGGGGGCAGTGAGACAGCAAAATCTACATTTTGAGGCTAAATTAGCATCTTGTTTCCTTAGAAAAACATTAATTTACATGTCAATAAAGACTATTCACATTTGGAACTTAGAAATAGTCCATGTAGGCCCACGCTACTGCAATACAGCAGCTTTCTGCTCTTGACATGAAAGTCATTGAGTCTTTGTGAAGGGCAATATTTAACCCTGTTGTAGGAACACATGAAGCACAAATGATACAAGAGCCAAGGTCCTCAGGTGACCAAGGCATCCCTGAAGCAGACAGT